TTAGACTTACTTGGGTTGTAAGTCCAGATTTGAAGAGGTCATTTTACGACGATGTCGTATTGGCCATTCACGATATACACACGAATATTTATTAAAAGGTGAGGATCCTACGTTTTGATCCCTTGGGATGAGAGAATCACAATCAAGCACGTACCGCTTGACTGTATTGATTTTGCCATTTTGCCATTACAAGGGATCAATATTTCAAAGACACGCCGCAATATAACTGGAATACTGTTAAAAGCGGGGTTAAACGAAACTCACTCACTCACTCGCTCGTCACGATATGGCTGAAATATTGCCGATGTGACGTTCAATTTTAACTCACTCACTCATTACAAAGTTTCGTGCCGCATTCACTAGCTGCCTTAAGCGACGATAATTTGTGACTATGGTGAATAATTAATGATGATAAGAAACGTGTGTGGTAAAAAAGGTGTTTTTTTATTGTTATATTTCCTTGGAGGTTGTAAATCATCTAACCAAATCAGTTTCATAGAAGAGTCCAAGGATGACGATAATCAAAGACTATATATCAATTAAAGATTAAGCCATCACTGATAATCTGTAGTTTGCAAGTACCAGGGTGTTATTTCCATGTCGCGCTTGTTGTCGTTTGATGTAAAAAAAAGAAAACATCTCCGAACTTTATATATATGAAATATGCATAATTTACATTGGCTCACGTGAGAACCCACGTGATAACTACTTCCTTCTATTTGAATACTCATGAGTATTTTGAGGTCTCTACTAAAACGAATCTATTTCCGTGTCACGATTTCTGTTTTTGTAGTTTGACCTGGAAAATTGTTTCTTAAACAACTCATCGACTGTTCAATATTTCTTCGTGAAAACGCCAAACGTACGCCATCGTCTATTTGAAATGTTGATCTCTCTGACTAATTAGGGAAAAATTCTTGATGCGTCGGAATTTTATTTATTTAGAATGGTAATTATATAGAGATGACTATTATCTGTGGCAAACCTTCACTTTTCACAGAGAGAGGTCTGCATCAGGTTTGGTACATCATCTGACATACTTAAATACTAAAATTGTTTTGTTTTCTTACACCACGGGTCTATGTAGAGAAAGTGAAAAAACAACCTAATCTGTACTGTCTTATACCTTTATGCCAAACGTTTTTTAAAGCCAGTACACGTGAATGTCATGTTCCATGTTTTATAACCTTTACCTGTTTTTCTAATTGTATACCCGACATTTCTAACTGTAATATCAATATTATACACGGCAGTAGGGTGAGATACAGTTTATTGTCATGCCTTTTCTGAGGTGCCGTTTCATACCATACGTCGCACATCAGTCAACCTGTACTTATACATTTACTCACCTACTACTAAAATACATATATTGTGTAGTACTAAAATACATATTTTGTCCATTAACTCATAGCAAAAGTTATTTCTGCTTGTTTATTTACACTGTACATTGAGCTAATACATATATCTTACATACTTTGACTGTTGGTGTGAATTATGGCCTCCGGTTTTCTCTTGTTATTGTTCTATACATTATGTAGTACGAGGCCCACACTCTCGAGAAAGTAAGTGCATGTTGTTTCATGCCTATAATATTCTGTATTATGGCAGCCTTCTTGTATTTGTTCCCTTCATGTTTATTTGATTGCAAGTAAAACTTTACGTTCCAAATTGTTTGTTTGCATGGATATCTTTATAGACTTGTCCTCAGTGGAATTATAAATATATTGCAATTCATAGCAAGAAAATAACCCCAAACTGCACCCCACACTCCTATTTAGCTTCTCCATCATGAGATGGCAGGCAGCATATTTTCTTGAATTTTCCGTTATTCACATGGTAGTGCATTATTTAGGACAAATTTATTCTCCTTTAGAAGCACTAAATGAAGTCAGATCAACTAATTACATAATCTGAGCAGTTATAGTTTACTGATCATGGAATAAATGGAATACGTAGGGACAATCATACATAAAGTACATAAAACTCTAACCAATAGTATGGAATACGTGAGTGAGTTAGTGAGTGAGTTTTGACCTTAAAGTTTACATCGCATCGGCAATGTTGCAGCCATATGGCGATGATACTATATTAACAAATACATTTAGAAATATAAAATCTGGCTACAAAGGACATAACATAATAAGATTATCACAGCGTTGTCGTTAAAACTTGCATGTGACGCTTAAATGTTATCACTATATAAAATAATACATTATACAAACGGACTATCGATCGCCAGCAACCGGCAACCAGCCACCGTACTACGGACCATGGGGATTTACAGTACCGGTACCGTCATGGTACCCATCCCTTTAGACACTGGCGACAGGTAGCATGTTGAACACATACCTGTATCAAGTTTCAAGTATATGGAGTGACGATTGGTATTTACATGTAGGAACTATGCGCTTTACTGAATAGGAATATTCTGCTGTGGTTGAAGGTCAAATCTTTATAACAATACTATGAATAACCCGGAAACGAAAGTAGTAAGTGGTACTGATATCGCATTTCCACATTCTTAATGCCTAAACTGAGCAACGCCGGATAAACAGCTTAACCACGATAACGATGATATGACCAGTGTAGTATACTATTAGAGCATATACAACCAGGGAATCAGATTTGTATATGTCATAGACGCTCGTCATTGCAGCATGTACATGCATAAATCACTGCACAGAAACGACTAATTAGTATTTACAAGCACCGTGATTAGTGGTGTGATGAGACAGATATCACAGTTACATGTATGTGTCATGGATAATTCACATGTACTGAAACTCCTGAGCTGTAAGGAAGCTGCTCTCTAGAAACCGCACATGCGTATCAAGTAATGGTTCATAAAAGATATAAATTAACATGTTATCTAAATTGTTGCATAATAACTTTACAAAAAAGTACTTATATTTTTAACAATCTTATTTTTTAGTGGAAAATATCAAGACACAATTCAAAATGTTGGGATATTTACGATAATATTATGGCTTACACATAGTTCTGATTTGAAAAAGGGGACAGATTAATCGATCATGGAAATCACCACCGATGTCATCTGTATCACATAATGAACGTTATCTATTTGTTAATAGTATTTTGTTCCATCTGCCTTTTTCAGTTCGAAGTCGGTGAAAATGTTCAATAACGACATATCCAAAATATTAAGATACAGTTGAAAACGTAGATCAGATTTAACAAAAACCTTTTGTACATTTTGAAGTGTTTCTATTTCGTTTCTCCATTATTGTAGATATCGATAGTGCTTTGTGCATGGTGCATGGTGCATTGTGCGTCTTGTGGTAATGACATTATTTGGCGAGTTGACTGACTAGTTCAGCTGACGTGACCCGGTGGTAGACATACACGTGAGGAGGCAGGACACTGAACAATAAAATGTAGTTCAACTGACGTGACTCGATGGTAGACATACACTTATCGAGGAAGGACACTGAACAATAAATTGTAGTTCAGCTGACGTGACCCGGTGGTAGACATGCCCTTGTCGAGTCAGGACACTGAACAATAAATTGTAGTTCAACTGACGTGACTCGGTGGTAGACATACACTTGTCGAGGCAGGACACTGAACAATAAATTGTTGTTCAACTGACGTGACTCGGTGGTAGACATACACTTGTCGAGGCAGGACACTGAACAATAAATTGTAGTTCAGCTGACGTGACTCGGTGGTAGACATACACTTGCCGAGGCAGGACACTGAACAATAAATTGTAGTTCAGCTGACGTGACTCGGTGGTAGACATACACTTGCCGAGGCAGGACACTGAACAATAAATTGTAGTTCAGCTGACGTGACCCGGTGGTAGACATACACTTGCCGAGGCAGGACACTGAACAATAAATTGTAGTTCAGCTGACGTGACTCGGTGGTAGACATACACTTGTCGAGGCAGGACACTGAACAATAAATTGTAGTTCAACTGACGTGACTCGGTGGTAGACATACACTTGTCGAGGCAGGACACTGAACAATAAATTGTAGTTTAACTGACGTGACTCGGTGGTAGACATACACTTGTCGAGGCAGGACACTGAACAATAAATTGTAGTTCAGCTGACGTGACTCGGTGGTAGACATACACTTGCCGAGGCAGGACACTGAACAATAAATTGTAGTTCAACTGACGTGACTCGGTGGTAGATATACACTTGTCGAGGCAGGACAATGAACAATAAATTGTAGTTCAATTGTCGTGACTCGGTGGTAGATATACACTTGTCGAGGCAGGACACTGAACAATAAATTGTAGTTCAGCTGACGTGACTCGGTGGTAGATAAACACTTGTCGAGGTAGGACAATGAACAATAAATTGTAGTTCAACTGACGTGACTCGGTGGTAGACATACACTTGCCGAGGCAGGACACTGAACAATAAATTGTAGTTCAACTGTCGTGACTCGGTGGTAGACATACACTTGCCGAGGCAGGACACTGAACAATAAATTGTAGTTCAACTGACGTGACTCGGTGGTAGATATACACTTGTCGAGGCAGGACAATGAACAATAAATTGTAGTTCAGCTGACGTGACTCGGTGGTAGATATACACTTGTCGAGGCAGGACACTGAACAATAAATTGTAGTTCAGCTGACGTGACTCGGTGGTAGATATACACTTGTCGAGGCAGGACAATGAACAATAAATTGTAGTTCAACTGACGTGACTCGGTGGTAGACATACACTTGCCGAGGCAGGACACTGAACAATAAATTGTAGTTCAACTGTCGTGACTCGGTGGTAGACATACACTTGCCGAGGCAGGACACTGAACAATAAATTGTAGTTCAACTGTCGTGACTCGGTGGTAGACATACACTTGCCGAGGCAGGACACTGAACAATAAATTGTAGTTCAACTGTCGTGACTCGATGGTAGACACCGACTCGAGTCAGGACACTGAATAGAATTATATTGTGGTTTAGAGTATAAATTATGGGTAGACCCTTGAGTAGAATTATATATAATAACACATACACATTCATGTTGCGGTCAGTTTTATTGGAGTTGGTGTTGGTTTTGCATACCTTTTCAACACTTGCAATAGTTTCATCACACTAAAGATACAGATCGTGCTTCCTGGTTATGAGAGCCGTATATTGGATAGACAGAAAACATTTGAAACTATTGAAAGCAAGCTAAAGGATGGATGTTAGTTACACTGAATCATGCGCATTTTGTTTTAAGCTTGATTTCATTAGGGAAAAGATTACTTAGAGAAAAGCCATTTTCCCGTGGACCCCCATCCTGTTGAAACGCCCACATATCTGATCTGTGTTGGAGTTGGGTCTGTCCACGACATGAACTGACGTGTTCCGACCACTGTGCCAGCACCCACGGAGATTGTGCCACCGCTGAAGCTGATCCAGAAGGACAGGTGCTTGTTCCCTGATAGTGGAGCGTGGATCGCATGCGCAAGGATTGGCCCCAGCTTTTTTTCTCTGATGACAGAATTTGTATTTCGCCCTCCTCCGATGACGATTTCGTACATGTTTTTATTGTAGACACCTTTGTTGCGAAGTAACGCGATGTGAGCGTCATTGGTAGCCTTTACCCAGAAGGTGAAGGATGTTCGCCCTTTGAGGTGAACGCCGAGGTCGTTGACGGAGTGGTACTGGTAGCTGTTGGCCGTCTCCATACAAACCAATGGAAGGTAGCGCTCTGTAACACGGACATAGTGAATAAAGTTACGTTCTTGTATTTGTCTGATAGAGAAGACTAGCTATGTCTAAAATCGATGGTTTTACCTATTCTTATCAAGACAACGAAACATCTCGTTTATCCATTTGAAGACAGATCAAAAAGCAAAATAATATTTCATGATTATAAAAGAACATGCTTCTACACATATATACTGAACAACAAAAGTTCCTGGAACATTGAATAAGATTTAATGCAAAGTTATGTTTTTTACCAAATCTAACACAATTTCGGTTTGCAACAGATAAAAGACTCCTGTAAGTGTTCAAATGGTTTAATTTGCCATACTGACTTTGGGAAATGCGTGATTTCATAACAAACTTGAACATGCCAAAATGTCAATTCACAAATCAATAGCGTGTGTGTCCACCTGTGGTTGCAATGCAAGCAACACATCTTCGTCTCATGAAATGGACCAGGCGTCGCACAAAGTCCTGTGGGATATCTGTCCATATCTGCTGGAGCATGTTTCGAAGTTCCTGGAGTGTCTGTGGAACACGTGGTTGACGTAATTGAAAGGTTGATCTCGTCGCGGTAGCGCTGTCCATTAAGATTTCCCTCTACCACTATCAAACTGGTCCTCTATCTTACTGTAATCCCACCCAATACCATAACGCTGCCGCCCCCGAACCGATCTTCTTCCATGACACAATGATTGACGTAACGTTCACCTCGACGTCGGTACACTCGAATCCGTCCATCGCTGTGGTTGAGGTGAAAGCGAGACTCGTCAATAAAGAGAACTTGTTCCCACTGCATGCCGTCCAGCGTAGACGCTGTCTGCACCACTATAGACGTGTTTGACGATGGGTTCCTGTCAAAATGGGACGTCTGGCGAGTCTTCTGGAGACAATACCTGCACATCTGAGGCGACGACGTAGGTTTGTGAAGATATTCGTCGAAGGCCAGGGATGCTTCTTGTAGTCACTGTTGCTGGCTGGAATCGATTTCGTAGGTGTGTTGTTCGAATCCAGATGTCATGTTGATTATTGGTCACTCGTGGCCTGCCACTCCAAGGATGGTCTCTGATCGCATTCGTCTGTTGCCTACGTTGCCATAAACACCAAATGGTGTTTCTGTGGACGTTAAATCGTCTTGCAACATCACGTTGACTCGATCCTGCTTCAAGCATGCCAATGACTCGCAGAGGCTCATTTTCGAACAGGCGTGGCATTTCGTAATGTTGAATTATTGCGTAATTTTGTTGTTTTTCTGAGTGGTTGTTGTCAGCACGATGCTGAACAATGCTTTGGAATCCCGTTAACGCACATGTTTTTATACCCATTCTTGGGTAGTGAAATGCATGGGGCTTGCATAAAAGTCAACCTTTGCAAGGAATGCATGCTTACCTGTAGCAGTTGCGTTTTTGTGACTTGATTCCATACATGTACTACAGTCTTGAAAACCAAACTTTACTTGTTTGAATAAGACACTAAAATATTGGTGTCACAGGAACTTTGGTTGTTGAGTATATTACCAAAAAAATAAATACATTTGAATGTGACGTGAGACACACGCACTTGAACAGCGACGTGTAAGCACGTGTCTATGCATGTGTACTAATTCGGACGAACGAAGGCTTTAGAGAGCTACCCCACTTGAACACTATGTCACAATATAAGAATGATACCCCAACACATACACACTATATTGGTTACCAGGCAGAGTAAACACACGTTCACGTTTCTTTTAACCTCTTTTGGGATGACGTGGGTGGGCTCGAACCCCGACCTTCCGCTCTTCCAGCAGATAGTTTGTGGACTAGATCTCAAATGTTAGAAGTAAACATTTAGTTTATCTCTACTTGATTCGTGTCATAGTAGGGCACGAGTACCCGCGTGGACTAAGACTTTGGAAATCACTGTGCAGGGTTGCGTCCCTTATTGTACCAGGATCAGCTGATCACTCAGCACCATTTCTATGCTTCTCTCTCAGCCTCTACAACCAGCGTATGTCACTTTATGATTACCTTCCACGTCAACATCACACGCTGTAAAATAATGTACAAAGAGGCAAAAAAGCACAACTCACTCACTCACCCAGGTACAACTAGTTTACAACTGACCGTCGCTGACACAAAGATACATACCAAATTTCCACAGACCCGTTGACCCCCATCCAGTTGACACCGCGATGTAGTTGACAGGGTGAGGGAAGGGATCCGTCCACGTCATGAACCTCCCAACTCCTACCACCGTTCCCGATCAAACAGAGATCACGCCACTCTTCCAAGAAATCCAGAAATCCCGGAACTGGGTTGCACTCAGAGGTCTGTGGTGAGCTATCACTCTGTTTGTGTACTGCTTGCCTGCTCTTATAGAGGATCCGGCGTTGCGCCATGCGCCAATCGCAACCTCGTATATGTTCTGACTGGTTACTCTACATACCGTTGCAGGGCCACGTGAGCATCGTTTGACGCGCGGACCTTGGAGAAAACAACTGAACTTTACCTCCTTTGATCTATAGAATCAACTTCTGTTGTATTTTCTCATCTTCAAATAACATTGTGGAATCGTCGGTTTAACCATATGCACTGCCAGCTGTCATACGAACTATATTATTCAATATAAAATATTTAATGATAATGTGTTTATTCATTCGTAACCTTGAAACCCCGTTTTGACTTGGGTTTGAATAGGTCCCAGGCACTCTATTGTTTACCATAAGAGGCGACTTAATTTGGTCGGATGGAAAGGCTTGCCGTTGTACCTGTACATCATTCGTTGGGCGTTGGAAATAATATCAACAACACCCGGATAATTTGACCCAGACCCTATTATTTACAGGCTGCAGTGATATAGCGTTAATTGGTTGACTGCGCGATAAACAACAACCAACAAGGCTTACCTTGAACGTGAATGACGTGGCTCCAGGCGTCAGATCCACACCCAGATCATGAAGGGACTGGTATCGGTAAACTGTGTTTGTTGCAAGTGAGACATCCGAAGTCGGGGCTGATCCACATGTATTGTAGAAAATGTTTTAATTAGAAGAAAAAGAAGATGATATTTTCAATTGTACTTCTGTTCACACTATGGTGCAGTAACTGAACGTCATCATTAATTATCTTGTGATACACGTCATTGTTTACAGACACTGGCACTAAACTACTTACCAAACTGCCACAGTCCTGGTGACCCCCATCCAGTAGACACAGCAATGTACCTGACGGCGTGAGGGGAGGGATCCGTCCACGTCATGAACCTCCCAACTCCGACCTCCACCCCCGATCCAACAGAGATTACGCCATTCGCCCAAGATATCCAGAAATCACGGATCAGGGATGCACTCAACGGAGTGTGGTGAGCTGACGCTTGGACGTTGTGCCCTCTGCGTGATCTGATCTGTGATAGAGTGTTGCTCGATGCGCCAATCACCACCTCGTATATGTTCTGACTGGTTACTCCATCATCCTGTAGCAGGGCCACGTGGACATCGTTTGACGCGCGGACCTTGGAGGAAACAATTTACCTTAACAACTCTGAATTTGTAATTTAGAACCAGTTGTCTTTATTTTTATCTCTTTTGATAACCACGATGAATCAATCAATGGCTTGGCTGTTCCTGTATACAGGAAATGCAAACTAGTGATTATTTACATGAACTCCCAGTGACATGGTATAAGTTCCTGTCTTACCCCGTGCGGTGGGGTAGCCTAGTGCTTAAAGCGTTTGCACGTCACGGCAAAGGCCCGGGTTCGATTCCCCACATTGGTACAATGTGTGAACCCATTTTCCGGTGTCCTATGCCGTGGAATATTGCTAAAAGCAGCTTTCAACCCTACTCCCTCACTTACTCCTGCCTTACCTTGAACTTGAATGATGTAGCGCCAGGAGCCAAATCAACACCCAGGTCATGGAGGGACTGGTAGCTGTACGTTGTATTAGTTTCAAGTTCCACGAAGGCTACACCACATGTAGTTCAGAAAATATTAGATTAGAAAAGTGAAATCCTTATCATTAAGACAGTTACGTCAAAAGAATAGTGGCTGTATATGGCACATACCTATTCTGTGTGAAGTTCACATTTTTACTAGAAAACGGCATGACATGACTTCATAAAACATAGATGCAGTCCCATCACACACTCATGCACGTAGCCTGTGCCCCATTTACACAGAAAAAATAGGTCCCCGTTGGACATATAGATCAGTAAATAAGTCCCTTGCAATACACTCACGATTGTAATAAACACGGTATATGACGGATACGAGTGTACTTATATATTTAGTACCATTTTAAGGTTTGCTATAGCGAAATTCAGCGTAAAAAAGACGTCGTTGGTATAAGATAGGCGTATAAATGCAATGTTAGCAGCTGAGGACACGACCATGCATTTGTTCAGAGCACAGCTTTTGTCCAATATCGATTATAAAACACCTAAGACATTCAAGAGATTGAACTGTGAACAGATGTCTTTTGTAGATGTGCAAACTTCACAGACATATCCGAAATTGGCGCACAAAAGGAGATACGCCTGCAACTTACACAGTCATATCTCATCAAGGGTCCAGCATTGTTCTCTGTTTCCTCAATGACAATGCCTCTGTTTTAATGCTTTTACTTCGGATGAGATCAGACCATGGGCCACTTAAAGTACGGGGGCCATTCAATATATAACCAGCCTAACCTATTTGCTACTGCTCCTCACTTCTTCTTTGTCCACATAATCACCATTGAGGTCTATGCACTTTGTCCAGCGATGTGTGAGAGCTAAAAGCCCGTTGTGATAGAAACCATGGGGTTGTTCGTGTAACCACCCCTCCACTGCTGTCGTGAGTTCATCATCGGACCGGAAATTACGTCCACGCAGTTCTTTCTTCAAGTTTGGGAAGAGAATGTAGTCGCTTGGTGCCAGGTCTGGTGAGTAAGGTGGATGAGGCATGTTTTTGAACCCGTTCCGCTTCACTGTGGCAACCGCAAGTCGACAGGTGTGCACTCTGGCATTATCATGTTGGAGCAGCACACCTTTTGTGATCTTTCCACGACGTTTGGCAAGAATAGCAGTCCGCAAACGGTCCAGGAGATCGGAGTAGTACTCTCCAGTAATAGTCTGGCCACGTGGCAAGTAGTCAATGAGCAAGACCCCTTTTGGTATCCCAAAAGATGGTTGCCATTACTTTGCCAGCCGATGGTTGAGTCTTAAACTTTTTGGGACGGGGTGAAGCAAAGCCAGTCCACTGCTTACTCTGTTCTTTGGTTTCTGGGTCATAGTGGTGAACCCAGGATTCATCACCAGTAACAATTCTCTCCATAAAGTTGTCTGCATCAGGACTGCATTGCGTCAAAAGGGCTGACACATTGACGCACGTACAGCCTTCTGATCACCACTCAGACATTTCGGGACCCATCGGGCAGACAGCTTCCTCATACCCAGACGATCATGCAAAATGGTATGGACACTTCCCTCTGAAATGTCCAAGGCCTTGCCCATTTCTGACACCTTCATTCGCCTGTCTTTGACAACCAGTTGTCTCACAGCTTCACTGGTTTGGTCATTGGTCACCTCTACAGGCCTGCCAGGGCGTGGCTCATCTTCCAGGTTCACCCGACCCCTCTTAAATTCTGCAACCCAGAATTTGACCTGTGCACACGAAGGTGCACTGTCACCATAAACATCTGACAATTCATCATGTATCTCCTTTCCCGGTTTCCCTTTTAAGTAGAGGTACCTAATAACAGCCCTGTATTCAACCTTTGACGAAAATTTGGCAGAATCTACCCTTGCCATCTTTAGAGATCACGTGCGTGACTTCAAGTACAATTTCCTCAGTGAAACAGTGACATACATTGGTGCACAGTACGTGACAAGCATGCAACCGTTAAGATCTGATAAATAGGTTAGGCTGGTTATATATATTGAATGGCCCTCGTATATTACAGCCGTTTCAATCAGGACCACCAACCAACATTTTACGACTGACTCCCTTGATAGGACGCAATCTTCCTGAATGTGAAACAACCAGCTTCTGAGATGTTTTACGATGAACTCGTCCCTAACAGGTGTTTGAGAAATACAGACAATTAGTTTAAACAATTAGACACAGCTGTGGCTACTTATAGATTGACGGATATATCTTAGAATTGTGGCTGTAAAATGTTTCAGCGAAATACGAAGATGCGTACTATTTCTGGTTTTTTTCTAAATAAACTTTTTCGCAAAAATATTTGGCAGTCAAATTCTGTTTTTTATCATCAGTATGAAGCAAGACTTTAAGGGGCCAATTATTTTTTTGCGATAATAACTTTGGCTCCTCAAAATATCATGTAACATTAGAAACATCAGACATGATGCAATTACAAATTCTAACTTTTTCCCATTACAGTGCAGTTAGAGTATTTCCCTTTGCACAAGAATCTTATATCAATCTAGACGATCGAACCCTAAGAAGAGTTTTCTGTAAATTTAGAATATTTTTGTCATACCTTTAAGATAAATAGCTCAAGAAAACGTAAGAAAATGTAGATAACACTTATGCCCTTGAGAAGTGTTATGTTGATACATAAGTACACCATGATTAGAAGAAGGTATTTTGTCGATCTCGAGGGGTATATGGTGTGATGTACCCAATGTGTGAGTCTAGGTATCCCAAGCTGCCAGTCTCACATGCATCACACCATATGCCACGATGGATCGGCTGACAACAAACACATCTCACCGACATTCACTCATACAAACCCGGAATATATGTCCGGAGGTTCACTGTGGTACCACAACTCGTTGCACGTCTCTTCAGTAAAAGAGAACACAACGGGCAGACTCTGTTATGTTTGATATGGTATTTGGGTTTAAGGGCGATTTGGACTATTAAAGGTATATTTGCACTCAACACTTTACATCGGTTCTTTGAAAGGCATTTAGAAGTGATACACGTAAGGAAGAGAATACATGGGCGTCAACCTCTTTATTATGAGGAACACAACGTTTCAGGGTATATGCTTACTCCTTCATCGGGGGAGAGAATGCCACGAGGCAGAGAACATATATATGTATATGTAAGGAAACAAAACAAAATTAACAAGATAACAAAAGGTGGAAAATATCAAAGGATAGAAACTAACAAGGGAAGCCGACAGATGATTGGCGCTGATATAGGTGATTAACAACCCACAATAGTAGCCAACACTGTACAGTAATTAGCGCTGATAGTATGGAAGCCAGTACTTAAGTATCATTGAAAAGGAATAGGTAATGGACACTGGGCAAACGGGAGGCTGGGGGTAATTAGCGCCGATAGGTGAACGAATGGACATAGCAAAAAGCAACACTTTAAATGTTTTTAATAAAGAGCAAACGGAAAAGTAAGAACTCTTTCCATTGAAAATATAGTCAAGACAAAAATAGAAAACTGTTCAAATGGTTTAAAAGTCAGTGCACAATATATGTATACATTTAATTTCTATAATCTATCAGATTTTCAAGATGCTGTCACAAAGTCTAATATTGCTCGCTAAATTAAACCATAAAATACGTTGGAGCCCACAAGTGTAATACGATTAATTGAGCTGTCTCTCTGTGATACTACACTTCTTTAATTTAATCTGATATGAGTGTGGTCATGGTATTCAATTATGTAATGCTTCACTGTCTCGGAAGTATTTTCGTCACAGTGTGTACATTCAGGGGAGACCTTTTTATCAAAGACACTGCTGTGAGCATTTAACCCACAGTGTCCAAGTGTTATAATTATGAGTTAATCTAAGATGACGATGCAAAAATCATGATCATAATAGCGTTTATACACAACAGTCACGAAGTTACAAACATCTGGCATCAACCTTTGTTCGGAGCAGAGGAGAGAGCCTGTGGTAAAGTTATGCCCCTTGTTATGTTAAGACGCGTGTTGATGCGCTCCGTCAAAAATCATCTTAATGTCGTATTATGACCGAACTTGACAGAATTGAAGCTAAAATACGTGATTAACATTATACCAGAGACCGAAGTAAGACAAGAAATGGTGTCGATCGACGTCTATAGAGCAAGAATTGGACTTTTCACTCAACCAAAAGGCATCCGTTAAGTAGCACTTGACAAACATGGCGAGTATTCACCGACTGTCGTTGGGTCTGATATACACTTCAGAATCGTTGTATGTACAGCTGTGTTTATCTTGCATATTGGTTTAAACTATGCTGTTTTGGACGCATGTGAAAATGTTGATGTGTGTTCATATTTACCAAAAAGCATGTTTGTGAACTTGCTTACACCAGTGACGTCACGTCATTCAAAACTGAATTGTCAGCTTGGCCATCTCAATCTTCACGTGCTCCAGTCGCTTGCCTTTAAGGTGGTAATCTGCTCCCCGCTGAGGTTATAACACATATAATCCTGTGTGCAAACGGTATCGAAATGAATCCTGGACCACTTACCTCAGCATAAGTCAAAGATACCATTTTGAAGGAAATCCAATGCGTGAAATGTAACCTCAGAAGTCAGATAACCACACTCTCAAATGAGGTTCGAGATTTGAGTACCAGATTTAATAACATTGAATCAAAGATTACCAAACTTCAGAGTGACATGGAAACACAATCAGAGAATACGGTACGAGGACCTTGGTTTGATCCACGGTAAGATGGAAAACGTGGAAGAGAAACAAGCACAGTTCGATGGCGAGATCGACAAGCTAGAGGCATTCAGCAGGCGTGACAACGTTATCCTCTATAACGTGACAGAGGAAACAGGGGAGACGCACACTGATTGCAAGGTCAAGATACTATACATCTTGAACAGCAATGTTCAGACCAAGACATGGGTTAGTGATGACGTTATTCGTGCACATCAACTCGGCGCCCAACGTGAAGATACTTCTAAACCAAGACCGCTTTTTGCTAAATTACGGCTATCAGATGACAAGATCGAAGTATTGAAAGCTCGAACAACACTCAACAACTTAAAGCCGTGAAAGAAAGAGGGCTGATTGGATATTTCAAGAATGGTAAGCTGTTAACTAAACCACGAAATGATGAACATAACCATGGCACCCAGGAATCAGAGAGCTCCAAACGACAATTGAGGAGTACCTCACGGCGTGGTGGCTACCATAGGAAATAACAATCCGGTCAGGTCCAGTATTCGACACAGAATGGAAATAACACCGGTAACCATAAACATTTGTCATTGTTGTCCTGGAACATTGTTGTCCTGTGGCCCACATAAAATGTTTGATGATTGTGACTTTATTGCCTACCTCCAATCGTTTGATATTGTGTGTATCTTGGATACATTTATATAATATTTCCCAAACTTAAACTGGCTGCCTGGTTGCCAAATGTACTTTGCCCCATGAGCTTAAACATCATTTTCAGGTGCATGTTCCGGTGGTGTGTGTCTCTTCGTTAGGCAAGATGTTGTGAACCAGTGCATATATCTTAGCACCGATATTGAAAACTTCATATGTTTGAAATTTCCAAAATCTGTGTTTAATTTAAAATATGATTGAATGTTGTTGTGTACATATGTCCCTCCGGCAGGTTCTACATTTTACAAAGGGAGAACACATTCAGGTTGCCTTATGGAACAAGTGGAAGTTTTTATATTGGAGCATTGGTCTGATTTCACTTCTTCACATGTGCTACACTGCGGTGATTTTAATGCGCGCACAGGCGACGAAAATAATCCCATTTCTGAGGACAGTGATGACTTTGGACATGATGATTTATACATTGATGTAGACAATGCCGCTGTTGAACAGCGTGTATCTCACGATGACACTATCAATAGATTCGGTCGCATTTTATTAAATCTATGCATTGTTCTTCGTATGTTTATACTAAATGGGAGAGTTTTTGGTGATAGAGCAGGCGAGTTTACGTTTGTAGGAGATACTGGTTCTAGTGTTGTTGATTATCTTATTGCATCTGTTGATTTTTTTCCAGTATGTAGATATGTTAAATGTTGCTGATCGATCAGATTCAGACCATTTCCCTCTTGAGTTATCCTGCAGGTTTCCTTGTAGCAATCGTGCCATACATAGTTTAGACCGTGAGAATAGTACATTTTCATGGAACGAAACAACACTTAGAGGGCCCTTGCATATTCATGAAAATTCCTTGATGGATAAATTTGTAGCTAATGCAGAGGAGGGGATTACATATTTGGTACAGTATGTTCTGGACTCGGAGTCCTGTATGAAGAAACAGACTAAATATGGTGAAAATAAACACGATAAGCTTGTAGGGCAGCAAGATCTGAATCCAGGAAGGCTTTCAGAAGGTATAGGTGTTGCCGCAGTGAATGCAACAGAAAACGCTACTGTAAACTGAGAAATGTGTATAAAACCTTTTGTAGGAAGTTCACATATGATCTTAAATTGTCACGGCTAGTCAGAATAAACAGCACTTTATACAGTCCGAAATTATTTTGGAAAACCATAGTTCTCTTCAGAGACATTCTACCCCCAGAGGACCTGTATCCCCAACAGAATGGTTACATCATTTCAAGAAGTTATTCTCAAAGGATGATTCTATATAATTGATAGACAATGAGTGCTTTGAACGTGATAATGATGGCGTCAGTGAAAATTTTAGTGATGTTGACATGCTTCTGTTAGAATCGCCTATCACGGAGACGGAAATATTTAATGCTATATCTCGCTTTAAAACTGGTAAATATGCTGGGGTTGATTGTGTTATAGCTGAAATATTTAAGTACTCATTACCTGATATTATGCCTTTTTTGGTTAAATAATTTAATCGGACTTTTGATAAAGGTGTTTGTCTTTCTGTCTGGTCAAGATCTATCACTATCCCGTCATTCAAGAATGGAAACGTTAACAATACCGGGGTATTTCTCTCGCGAGTATTCTTGGTAAAGCATTTACTTCTGTCATCAATAATAGATTAACACTGTGGTCAAATATGAGAGCGTGATTTAGAAAGGACTATTCGACTTTTGACCACATATTTACTTTGTATGCAGTCATTGAAAACTATTTATCGTATAGGAAACGTGAGTTGTATGCGCCCATTGTTGATTTTAAACGGGCATTTGATTCTGTAAATAGAGCTAAATTGTGGAGCTGTTTGAAAAATAAGGGTTTCGGAGGCAAAATGCTTGCTGCTGTAAAATCAATGTATGCAAATGATAAAATCATGTGTTAGCTGTAGTGATACTAAAAGTGACTTTTTTTTATTTACGCCAAGGATGTGTTTTAAGTCCTATTATATTCTCACTGTTTATACATGAGTTATATGTTGATACACAGTCTGGTAGTCCTGGCGTCCAGCTCTTCTCTGATATAATAGAACTTTTCATGCTACTTTTTGCAGATGATGTGCATTTGATGTCTAGTACTATTATTGGTCTACAGAAGCAGCTTGACATACTTTCGGAAGTTTCAGATAAATGGAAACTTAGTGCTAATCTTGATAAAACAAATATTGTTGTATTCCGTAGAGGTGGTCGAGTGGCCACAAGAGAGTAATGTTTATTTAAAGGTACATGTATTAATGTTGTGAATGAATACAAATACCTTGGCATATTGTTTATCCATACACTGAATCTGAATAAGTCAGTAACTAATCTCACAAACAGAGCAAAGAAAGCTCTTTTACAAGTCAACTGTGCCATGTCTAAGCTTGGAGTTATTTCACCGAAAATGTATTTTACATTATTTGATTCTCAACTACAACCTCATTTACTATATGTGTCTGAGATATGGGGTTGTAAAGAGTTCTGTACAATTGAAAAGGCTCATCTTCTCGCTTGTAAAAAGGTTAAGAATATTGCTATGACAACACCTAGTAATATGGTTTATGGATAATGCGGGAGATTCCCATTGTACATTGGATCCTACACTCGTTGCTTGAAATATTGGTGTTAAAATAATAATAATGCCTGAACACCGTTTACCTAAGAAAGCCTACAACATGCTTGTACACCTCGATAGTCTTGGAAAGAACACATGGGCTTCTTGTTTTCGTACATGGCTTTTTACATATGGCTTTGGTTTCATTTGGTTGTCCCAGACGATTGGTAATGCAAATGTTTTCATTAAATGCTTTCGCATGCGTGCCATTGATATGTTTCATCAGAAATGGCATCACGATATTTACGAAAATTCAAGATATGATACTTACCGCCGATTCAAGTCATTGCTTGAACCAGAATCTTATTTATCAAACTTATGTACAGGAATTTTCGTAACATCATTATTCGTTTTAGACTTGGCTTGAATGATCTACGAGAGACGAAAAATTAACACAGGGGGATTTTCACCTATTGAGAAATCCTTAAGGTTATGCACATTCTGTGGCATTGTTGTCGAAGATGAATATCATTTTTTGTATATTTGCCCTTTTCACGAAAATCTGAGAGACAATTACCTACCGCAGTGGTCTTTATCTCATTTTAATGCGATAACATTGTCTCATTACTGTCCCGCAAGGATCTTCTGACACAACATCAACTGGCTTTGCACATGCATAATGTGTTTTGGTTACGAAGTGAATTGTTACCTTGACTTTGTATTTACTACACAAAAGAAGTTAAGGATCACCCGATTCATTTATATTACTACAGGTAATCTCTCATTTCAGGGCAGATTAACAATTGTAATATGAAAGAATCGATGATCCTTAACTTCTTTTGAGTAGTATATATTAAAAATATGTTATGTTACTCCGTTCTATATGGGCATGTGGCCTTTCATGTGGATTTCACCAAAGTGACATGAAGCTGATGTAACTGGAATACTGTTAAGTCGAAACACTAACTCACTTCAGCGACTGTGTGTAAAATCCATAATAAACGTAAACAATCACATGCTATACCGGTTTTTTATTGTTTATATGTGATCTGTCTGACTTACAAAAGAATCACTTCAGGTAAGATGGATTGTACTAAATACTCACGCAGACAGATCCCGTCAGCAACAGATGGCAGCAACAGTGCAGCAGCCACCACCGTCGTCAACAGCAGCATCGTCGTCATCCTCACAACAATAAGTACATATTGTCGACTATCATGTTCATTGATATAATAAAGACAGTGCTAATGGTCATGTTTCCAAGTCGGAAAGATTTGAGGAGATTACTCGACGGATGTAATATCTTATTCGGATATATATGGCACAGGTAATAACTGTATAACATATGAATATAAATATTTGACTGAGGAAAAGAATTACATGGCATGTGTACGTTGAATGGACATATACATGTTTACTAACATTTAGACTCTAAAATAAAGTGATCTTATTTAAAAGTAAATATAGTCAAATATGATTTAAAATCCAAATTGAGTCCAGAACAATGCTTAATTTCTGAAGCTTAAGCAGTCTGGACTGCCAAATCATTCTAGACTTGATTTGGATGCTTTCCAAGATTATTCTCTGGGGCCCGTAAGACAGACTAGAATGCACGGCAATGTGACACACTGTGTAAAATGCAGCAAGGCACAGTTTAAAGTTCTGTGTATACGTAGGTCTAATACGATAAACGTGATCAAATGAGGAGTTTGGGAAGCTTGACCAGTGTTGGTGCTAGGTGAATTGTATTATCACCGGTTAAATTGCTATTCCCACTGCCACTCTTTTGTATATTGTGATTGTAATGACTTTGCACTAATTTGTATAGATTTGTAAATGAGGTGAATTGTTCAACATTTCTTTGTTTCTTTTTGTGGTTTTACACTGAATTATATTCCGTACCGATTTCTGGGTTAACAAATTGTTAAAATTTTGAAGTCGACACGTGACAATATTGTTAATTGAAACAAAATGTTCACCAATAAATCTGTACGTAAAAGAACCTAGTGTGAAACAAAAGATTAACAATTGTATTACAAAAATAACTATGTTTACACATCATCACAAATTACTTACAGCAATTACAATGGCAGTACACAATCGAGTGGTTGTACGATATTCAATGGCAGTGCATAAAATGTCCGTGGTCATAATCAAATACAAAAATACAGTTCGGAAAATATAAAGCAGGCATTATTGATATGCTTAAACAATGCGGATTTAAATGCACATTTTGATGAAATATTAAAGAAATTAATAAGCATATTTAATTGACTACAGTAACGAAATAGGAGTATATGCTGAGTTTTGAGGTCTGTAACTGTATAAAGACTAACTGTTTTAGAATATTCAAATGATTTTTCATTATGTTAAGTTTAGGTTAAAAATGAATATAAAATGCGTTATTGATGTAGCACATTTTACAAGTGCGTATGGTGTTAGTCTACACGTAGAGCAAGTGGTTTTGACACTTTTCGCCTACAAGTGCAGCACTTAAACGCACAGAGGCAAAACTGTTGCTCAACTTTCGAGATATTTTCTGGCCATTTCACCGATTTTGTTTTACAAGATCTCGACACTTTCGTGGCACTTGTTAGACACTTTTTAACCAGTATCGCGGCCCTTTCAATCCATAATTACGCCCAGTTTTGCGACACAATTTTGTTTATTTGTTGTTTAATGCTGCACTAAGCAGTATTCTAGCTACGTTCTGTTTTAACGGGGCGGCTATTACATTCATCGCGCTGAAGGAAGAGCTCAGATCATACTTCCATTTGAAGGTGACCCCATTAAATTCAAAAATGCTATCTGGAGATATACACGTTTCTTGAAATTAAAAAAAACTTGCTTAACATATGTCATGATATTAATCCTGGTACAATAAGATTATATTGCTCCCAATGATACTGTTTTAAATCATTGGGTTCATTTTAATATGTATTAGTAGCCATTCCACGAGAGTGGTAAATAAAAGCGCGATGGTCCGATCATGATCAGCTTTCAAGTATTGTGAGCATTTGTAAATTCAAATGACTGTACTGTCTTACGTGTATCTCAAAACAAACATTAACCTCTGGTATCACGCCCAATGTCCACTGTCCATTGCGATGTATTATTACACAAGCCCATGCATTTGTCAGTCTACAGAAAGCTACCATTTAGACTTGACAAAGTAAAAACAAGACATATTCGTTACTGGGATCGACATTTAACAACATACAAACCTTTGTTACATATTTTTCGTATGGTGTTATATTCATTTGATTCTGAGTACCTATCTGTTCCGGCATCATGAGCAATTTCAAACTTTCTAATATGATTGTAAAGTTTTGCTAGTTGTTCGTCACTGCCAATTGTGCTATCAAAGATTTGACATACAATTGGCGACATACATGCACACATATTTCAAAGCTCTTCAATAAATTATCCATCTTGTTTAGCCAGTTTGTGTGGATATTTCTAAACAATATAGTAAGTTTATCCTCGCAAAGGTAAATCTATTACCGAAATAACTATTTGCTGTGATAGAATGCTTGCGGAAAGTACTTCCTTTGTACACTCCATTCATGCCGATTTATTTGTATAAAACCGATTTCACTATTGATATTGATCTCGCTGAAGTCTGATGATTGTCAATCGTATGTTTCTGATTTTCGCCATTGTAAAGTACACAACGTTGCAATAGATCATACGAAAAAGATCATGTTCAAATGCCGAATCTCAACTGCATAATGCGCCGACGATTGTCATGTGCTCTTTCACGCGTACGTGATTCACTCTTCCTGAAATTCGTGTGTCACTCAAACTGGACGCGAACGTCAATAATTCGTCCTGAAATTCGTGTGTCACTCAAACTGGACGCGAAAGGCCATTATCCCGTCCTGAAAATCGTGTGTCACTCAAACTGGGCGCGAACGTCATTGTCCTGTCCCGAAATTCGCGCGTCATTCAAACTGGGCGAGTATATGATTCACACTTCCCGTGACTCGTTGGACACTCAAACTTGGCACGTTCTGCCACCCGAGCGGAACGCGTTCATCCCTAGGCAGTCGTTAATTTAATGTTGTGTGGTACTCCTCGCAAATATATAAGGTACCTCTGCCTAGGAAATACTTTTTCACCTCTTTTATAAAGCCACGGAGATAGGTAGCTGAGAGTGATTTGGCCAGTGAAACGTTCAAATCGCTTCTGGTACGATTGCTATCTACCCCAAGAAACATATACAAATATGAAAATTCTGCGGTTATTTTGCAACGCAAACCCCAACTCAAATATATGAAGCCAGAGTGCCATACCATGCCACTTTGCGTACAAAGACAACACACACAAAAAATGAGCATTAATCTTTTATCTGGACATAAGTTGAAGAAAAAATAAAGTTTGTCTTACCTGGCTGGAGAACAGTTGATGTTGTTCAAAATGATCAAAATTGGTCAGTCTTATATAGATGGTAACTTGTGACAATATTGATTATCATTATAACTGTCGACAATTTATTCAAAAAATTAGAGTGGCCCCATACATATTGAAATCCTGATCGAGGTGATTACAGCTTACCTCATACAGTGTGTACCCTATCAGATAGAACCCTTGGCCATGCACACAGGCTGTTACCTATCAATATAACAAACGGAACTAAAACATGACCAGCACCATATGATGGTAGGTGTTGGGTGTCTGACAACTGTTTGGAAGGCTAATAGCAACATTTGTCAAAGTCACAATACAATTGCACCACACCTTCGAGTAAAGTGTTACAATTTACAACGCCATGAACCATCCCACCAAGTACCGTTCTGAAGGTGACGAAAGCTCCTATCAACCTTTTAATCAGTTTACACTTCGTAAACACCAGCCATGAACAGTATCAGATGAATTTCGAGGAAACGTTGGAGCTTTCCGGAAATATCATCCAAATGTTACCGATGGCATATATTTTTCAAAAATAATGATATCACACTACATTTATTATACTAACTACCAGTACTACTGTGCTAATACAAATATCAAATCTCTGTGGGACGTTGATTGATGTTTATTTGCATACTCAAGTCAAAGACGTTTCAAGTCAAAGACGTTTATTGTATCAAAGGCCATCGGCCCATATACAAGTTCAGATAAATACAGTGGGTGAGAATTTACAGATTGGAAGATACAACAAAAATTATAAAAATATAATATTCATTTAACAATCGGTGATAATCATGAGGACTTTCTAGGGTAAGGTAATTAAAATTCTGAATTTCTACTCAACATGTTATTTCGTAGTTCCATCCCATGTTTTACAAATAAAGACAGTTTAAACATTACATCGGCATCATTCGATGACAAAATAGAAACAAACGCTATTCTACTCGTCTTAGATAAGAAACATACTGGTATATATTTAGTGCGTAATTCTGCATAATAAGGACATTCAAAGGTAAAATGTATTTCGTCTTCTATAGCAGAGTTACAGAATGGACAAATTCTTTGTATTCTTTCAAGTGATATATTCCGTCCATAGTTAATCATAAGTTTTGACAAGCCAAGTCTGTATTTAATATATACATTTCTTAGGTGACTATTTGTTAAAACTGATAGATATTTTTCTGGCTCTAATAGAGTCTTAAATGTTCTGTACAAATCATAACGTGAACTGTTTTCCAAGTTGCATTGCCACCCTTGATAGAACATATTTATTGCTATTTTACGAAAATCATTTAGAAATAAATGTTGATCACCAACAGATTGGTTAAGCCATATATACCCATATCCATGTGAGAATAATAGTGTCCTAATGTGCGATACCCATGTAACCTTACCGATACTATCTAAATGAAAGAGCATGTTATAAGCTTTTTTCGGAAGCCAATGTTCTGGCATACGGATGAAATTAAACCAATATTTTAAACACTTTATTTGCGAATTAATGTAAAGTGGGTATCTTCCGGAATTTCTCCATATATCATATTATTTGGTGTTGCTATTCCAACGCGAAGAAACTTTTTACATGCCAGTAGGTGAATTCTTTCTAAACATTCATATCTTCGGTAACCCCACACTTCAGATCCATACAATAAAATTGGCTGTATTTGAGTATCAAATAATTTGAAAAATACTTTTGGTGTAATAACTCCAAGTTTATGTGAAACAGACATTATATTAAGTAAAGCTCGTTTCCCTCGCAGTGATAAGTCAGATACACATTTGTCCATATTTAGTGTTGAATTAAACATTATGCCGAGATACTTATAACCATTAACTACATTAATTTGTTGTCCATTTAAGTACCATCTTTCCCTAAAATTTAAAGGACCCCCTTTTCTGAATACTATAATTTCTGTCTTATCTAAATTTACAGATAAATTCCATTCCTTAGTATACTTATCAAATACATTCAACTGATTCTGTAGACCAATAACAGTGTCAGATAGTAAAATAACATCATCGGCAAAAAGGAGCATAAGAAGTTCAAGGATGTCAGGATACATCTGTATACCATGCTTACCGTTACTTGAGATTTCATAATATAATTCGCTAATGAAAACAGAGGACTCAATATACATCCCTGACGTAAACCAGATGGGCAATCGATAAAATCAGTAACACCATAATCACTACGTACACATGACTTGATATTTGAATACATTGATTGTAGTATATTAAACATCTTCCCTTGTAGTCCAGCTTTTCTTAAACAACACCATAATTTATAACGATCAACTGTATCAAATGCCTTTTTAAAATCAATAAAAGCAACGTAAACCTTGTGTTTACGACGTGTTAGACATTTTTGAATTGCAGCATATAATGTAAAAATATAATGTGGGACGTTGGTTGATGTTTATTTGCATACTCGTATATGCATGGGGTTGGCGTATGAATCTCGGTAGAAAGTGACAATTTAGAGACGATGGCTTGCGGTATAGACAGTTTTACTCAAAACAGGTAGGTATATACATACAAAAAACAATATGTGCCAGGCTAGCACATAGTGGTAGTGGTTGTTGTCTTTGTTCCCCAAAGCACCAAGCCTAAGCCTAGATAGGCTAAGGGTAAGACCTTTCTCTCCCTTTCTCTGATTTTCATTCTTGGTCCAATGCTTATATAGCCAAAGTCATCTGGCATTTAAGTCATATTCATAAACAACAGTAATTCATCAGTAGTCCAGGCAATCTAGGCCATTTTTTCACTAAACTTGGAACAAATTGCAACAGAATTTATTTTACCATAATGCATTTCTACAAGGTCCCGAAAACAACATACTAAAAGTCCCAAGCAATCCCAGTTTGGGAAATATGTCTAATTTGCATAATCCAATATGGCCACCAATTATCAATATATCTTGCATATGTCAGATGAGGGTCAATGTTTTGATGAAAAAATGCATGTGTTGTCTTGCGAAATATCCATGTTATGTTTCTACTCCTGAACGTTTTCGATTATTCCCAAATCTGCAAAAATTCAATATCGCCGTCATGATGTTCATGAATCACACAATCATGTAACGGAAAGAGCAGTGGATCAAACGTTTTCAGATTTATATTCAAATATTGGTATTTGGTGGCTGCAATGGATTTCCACAGATGAACTACAAGGGAGATAACTCATCGATTCTAGTGAAACAACTGGTTTGGGGTAAATTCTGAGAGGACCTCATATAGGTCTTCCTTGTTTCCAACAAGTATTTACAGGAATGAAAACGAAACTTGTTATAGCCTTTATTGTCATGTTAATAGTGAGTGAGTGAGTGAGTTGGGTTTAACGCCGCTTTTAACAGTATTCCAGTAATATCGCGGCGTGTCAGCTTAATGTGGGAGGGAAGCCCGAAGTGATGCAGGCCTCAGACAATTACCACTTCGGTGAAACCCACGAGCACGGGTATGGTGCTGACAAACCTAGAAACATAATCGGGGCGAACCGGGATTCGAACCCACAATCATAGGTTTCTGGCGTGCCCTAGGGACGCAACTCTGCACAGCGAATCGCGGCGACTTAGACGACTGGGCCACCCGTGCCCCCGTCATGTTAATAAGTAGATTCAGACAATAACAATCAACATTGATATCTAAACTCGCCAAAACATGTCATTTAAGAGATAAATATTGATATTTGGTGGTTATATTGAATTTATTCAAATGATTGAGTATTCTACATACATCATTGGGTCTGTTTACCCCAGTGTAGAAGTTCAAATCACTCAAATATGTCATCAGATGACCAACAGTGTCTTGATATTCTATGTCTAGCCATCAAACTCTTGGCGGCCATCTTGGAATGTTGGGCCACCAGGGGGCTCTAGTGATGGAATTTCTTATATAAAAGTGTTAACTATACTTCAATAAGTTAGTGTGCCAAGTTATATGCATATAAGTCGTAGCACACTGTTTTAGAGATAAACGATTCAACAGTGTAAACACACATTTAGGAAATTTGGCGGCCATCTTGAAATTGGCGGCCATCTTGAATTTTTGCAGATTTGTAAATTGTCGAAAATGTTCATTTGTTGTGAATATCTTTTTAGAAACATAATATGGATATTTCGCAAGACAACACATGTTTTTTTCCATCAAAGCATTGACCCTCATCTGACATACATGTATGCAGATATATTGATAATTGGTGGCCATATTGCATTATGCAAATTAGACATATTTCCCAAACTGGGATTGCTTGGGACTTTTAGTATGTTGTTTTCGGGACCTTGTAGAAAAGCATTGTGTTAAAATAAATTCTGTTGCAATTTGTTCCAAGTGAAACCTTATTTTGCCTGGACTACAGTGACATACTTGCACATCACGTGCAGGATGGCAGACAGTCGATGTACAATACAATGGGGATTAACAATTGGAAAAAGCATCTTATAAAAAAACGGTATTTAATTGTTTTAAGGCATATTAAAAACTTCACATTTTTAAAAGTATTCCCATATATGATTTACAACGGACAAATGTATCAGAGAAGGTAATTTTTAATCATTTATGTCCAAAGAAGGATTTTAATTAACGGTGGTAACCATAATTTGTTCCAAGCACGGACTGCTTGTGAACACATGATTGGGAAGACAACGCCATTGTTGCTGCAAAATGGTGCCAAGATCTTGCAAATTCTGTGGTTGGTTCTGGAGAGTGCCCAGATTTCTGACAAGGGCATGCCAGACGTGTTCGATGGGATTGAGGTCGGGAGACCTTGATGGCCAGTCCATGACGTTGACTCCTGCATTCTGAAGGAAATTTCTTATCAAAATTGCTGTGTGTGGTCTGGCATTGTCGTGTTGGAAGATCCAACCGGGTCCATGTGTTGCCATAAAAGGCAGAAGTTCTGGTGCCAGTACCTGGTCGCGGTAAGCAGCAGCGTTTAGGTTGCCACGGATGACAAGAAGCCTGGAAAGTGCATTGCCACAAAAAGCATCCCACACCATGACGCTT